GCACGCGCGCACGCGCGCGCACGCGCGCGCACGCGCGCGCAAGCGCGCGCAAGCGCGCGCAAGCGCGCGCAAGCGCGCGCAAGCGCGCGCAAGCGCGCGCAAGCGCGCGCAAGCGCGCGCACGCGCGCACGCGCGCACGCGCGCACGCGCGCACACACGCACACACGCACACACGCACACACGCACACACGCACACACGCACACACGCACACACGCACACACGCACACACGCACACACACACAGAAAATACACACAAGTAATAGGATGTCTTATATTTTCTAATATTTTCTGGGTGTTTGTCTTCCCCCCCACTTCCCATATGTTCCCATATTTTCCGAGGGATCGACGATTAATTGTGTCTCTGTGTTTTTTCCCCTCCTGAGTGTAGGGGGCACCTGGCTGTACCCCTCCCCTGGCGGCGCGCCTCCCTCGCCCACGGAGCCTCCAGGCCCACCCGCCGCGGCCTCCGAGATGCCCCGGATGCCCTCAAGGGTTGCTCAAGGAGGGCTCCAGCGCGCTGGGGAGGCGCCTCGGGAGCATCCAAGATGGCCTCAGGACGGCCCAAGAGTCCTGGAAGACGCCCAACCCAGAAGTACCCACGAGACAGCGCCAAGACGGGGGGAACAAACATTGATTTTCCATTCGGTATCGAATGGTTTTCCCATTCCCACCACTTCAAAGGGTGCTGAAGCCCGAGGGCCGCGCATGCCCCAAGAGGGGGAACTCGTGAGGGCCCCGGAAGCCATCCCCCACGAGATGGCCCCCAAGACGCCCAACATGCCCCCGAGATGCCCCCACGAGACCCTCAAGAAGCCCTTAAAGGCCCCCCAAAATCACCCACGTAGAAGCCCCGACAAAGCTCCCGAAATGGCGCCTCCGAGGCCCCCAAGAGGCCCCCCAAGAAACCCCCACAACAGATGCGGAGGAAGAGCCAGAGACATCTGCACGCAGGCAGCGCGGCGGGACACAGCAGACAACGAATACGGTATCGGCATCCGCACATTCCTTTTTTGGGGGGTCGGCAGAGTGGCGCCAACCTCTCGAATAAAGTCTTCATGCAACAACTGATCATGTACATCAATTTCCGGAGCTCGACGAAGAACGGCACCCTGTAGACGACCCGGACGAGTTTCATCATCCTGACCAACCTTAACGCTCTCACGTTCGACAGCCCCACATTCAATCCGCAAAAGTTGAGGATGTACTCGGCCACGCTTGTGCACACGACGACGATGTCGGCGACGGTGTACAGGTTGTTCAGCGCTCCCAGCCTCTCGACATAGAAGCGGACGCACAACTCCAAGAAGAAGACCGAGAAGAGGATGTACTCCATGGTCACTAGCCAGCCCGGCAACGGGTCGCCCGCCGCGCGCGCGTCGGTGTCTACGATCACGCCCCAGAAGCTGGCAGCGGTGGCGAGGCCGACGAGCAGCTTCACGGCGTTGCTCTCGAGCGCCAGGTACAGGCTCCTCCGCACAGGCTGCCCGCGGAACATGGCCTCCCCGCTGGAAGGCTCGGCACGGATGAAGTCTGAAAACATGTTCTGGCTGATGACGCTCCCGGTCGAGGTGCGCGTCGAGGTGCGCCCCGACGTGCGCGTGCGCAACTCGAGCGGCGAGTCGGTCCCATTGCTCTGGAGAGCACCGTGAATCGGCGACTCCGACGTTTCGTCCGCGGGGTATTTCGGCGACGAACAGTCTTCGAAAGTCTCTGCCTTCAAATTGCTCATCACCGCCAAATCGCTGGACAACCCACCAAGCATGTCCAAGTGCCTCAAGGTAAGGCTTGGCGGTTGGGCTGGAGGCATGGGCCAGACAAGATACGGATAGCATTCGGGCTCTCGTGGGGCGTCCACGAGAGTTTTGGGATTGGGAGGCGGCCCTCTTGGAGCCTCTCGGGCCGCTTGGGGCGCAATCTGACCTCTTTGGGTTGTCTTGGGGGCTCTAGGGTTTCCCTGGGGCGCACGGGGTAAAATGAAGACTGTCCCACCTCCCCCTGAGACTTCGGCGCGGCGCGCCAGCCAGCAGCCTGAAAGCCGCTGAAATGTCAGTCTCCGTTGTCCCAGTCGTTCCCAAGTCGGCCAAGATGGTCCAAGATGGCCATCAAGATGCCCCCAAGATGCGCCCAACGCGGCCCAATATGCACTCAAGGCGGCCGAAGATTGCCAAAGATGGCCTACAGATGCTCCAAGATGGCCCCAAAGAGGCCTCCAAGACAACCCAAGAGGCCTCCAAACGGGCCTCGAGGAAGACCTGACTAGGCACCGATCACTCATCATTGATGATCTTCCTCCGGTGTTAAAGCAATTTTGGCATTTGTTCGTTTTCGGCTTTCCGACGGCCCAGGACGGCCAAATAACCCTCCAAGATCCCCCCAAAATCGCCCAAGAGGCCTCCAAGATTGCCCCGCAACGGCCCAAGAGGCCCCCAAGACCGCCCAGTACGCCTCAAAGACGCCGAAAGATAGCCTCCAGGACGGCCCTGAAACGCCCGAATAAGGCCCCAATACGGTCCAGAGAGGCCCCCAAGACGCCTTCCGACGGCGGCAGACGGACCAGGAACGCCCTGAGACTGCCAAATACGCCCAAAACAAACCCCCAAAGGCACTCAAGAGGCCCAAGGAGGTTCCCAAGAGGCCTCCAAGAGGCCCACAGGAAGCCCTAAATTTGAAAGCAGTGTGGAACATATAACTTCAATAACTCACGAAATACAAATGTGAAAACGTGAAAAAATGTGAAATCCGATGCGGCCGTCAACGGAAATGTGAATTCAACGAAAAACCAAACTCCAAGTGTGACTTCGGCGAAAAATGAAAGTACAAGTGTGATTTCGGCGACAACCGGAAACACGCAGTCGCCCGAATGCAAATGCTAACAAAAATGGAAAAAAACAACCGCAATAGCTTGGAAAACGCTCGCTCAAATTACTCAGATCCCCTAGCGTCGCGCGCAAATCTCTTCCAGCGTGCTGGCGTGCGCCACGCCCCCGGGGTGAGTTGAACTGGGCGCGCAGCAATCCCTTGGATTGCGCACAAAGGCCCCTGGCGCGAACGCCCATGCACCACGCGGACCGCGGCAACGTTCAGCTCGCTGGGCAACGGCCGAGCACCATGCTCGCCTACCGTGTGTCGGCGAAACCAGGACCCAACATGCCCGGGCGAGGCCATTGACAAAGGGGTTCGCCCGACGTTCCCTTCCCGTTCCCAGGGGGGCACCGGCGTCGACAGGCGCCGGCAGATGATTCGGGACCTCGTGCGACCGCAGCCGGAACGAGAGGTGGCGATCCCAGCGGACGCAAGCCACCATCGCCGCGATCTACGCAGCAGCGGACAACATCGCGGCAAGCAGCCGACCGCCACTGGCCCGCACCAACTCGCGCCCCGCGCGCCGACCGCCGCCGCCCCGAAGCACGGGCCACCCCGCGACCCGACCAGAATTGACATCCGGAGGCCAGCCCTGCCAGCCCCCGCCAGCCCTGCCAACCCCGCCCCGGCGACCCGAGCGTCGCCATCGGGTTCCGGCGCACAAAACGCCAGCGGCAATCAAGGTGGCGCGCGCAAGACCATCGCAGACCGCGCACCGGCGCAAGATGCCGTCGGCAATCAAGGAACCGCCCGCAGCCAGGCCACCGGACCAAGGCCATGCACCAGCACCAACGGCAGACGACAAGCAGACGGAGCCGCGGCCCGCACGGGCGAGTTTCAACAGCCCACGCCTGGAGACCACGACCGCCGAAGCACAGGGCAACCTGCAGGATCTCCACTGCGACAAAACGGCAGGCCCGCTGCGCGGAGCCACGCGCTTGGGGCGCGGCGGACGCACTCTCGCCGCAGCACAATCCTCGAGTACTGGGTTCAACGATGCCTCCAATCCGAAGCTACGCGCACTCTGGCACGGCTGCGTCTCGCGCAGGAACCCGGGCCCGGCGCGGCCACTGCTCGCGCGGACCTCTGGCCACTGCGCATTCGCGCATTTATTCTCTTGCGCAGCTGTGCTCTAGAGCTCGGACATCTTCACTTTCGTCGTGGTTCGTGGTTCGTGGTGTTTCGTCCCCCTCGGCCCCTCCCCTGAGCCTGAGACCCAGTTCCCCTGGGCCACCCGCCCTTCGGAGGCTTGCTCCGTCAAGGCTTCCCAGGACAGCCCCCCTGGGCCGCGGACATCCATATGTTCGTCGTGGGTCGTTGTTCGTCGTGGTTCGTCCCCCTCGGCCCCTCCACTGAGCCTCGCCCCAGCTTCTCTGGGCCCCCCCCCCCCTGGGACCCCCCCTCCGTCCAGGCTTCCAAGAGCAGCCCCCCCTGGGCCGCGGAACCCTGTATTTTCGTCGCGGTTCGTGGCTCGTGGTGGTTCGTCCCCCTCGGCCCCTCCCCTGAGCCTGCGCCCCAGCTCCCCTGGGCCACCCACCCTTCGGAGGCTTGCTCCGTCCAGGCCTCCCCACCTTGGGGCCCCCCCTCCGTCCAGGCTTCCCAGGGCAGCCCCCCTGGGCCGCGGACATCCTTATGTTCGTCGTGGTTCGTGGTTCGTGGTGGTTCGTCCCCCTCGGCCCCTCCCCTGAGCCTGAGATCCAACTCCCCTGGGCCACCCACCCTTCGGAGGCTTGCTCCGTCAAGGCTTCCCGGGGCAGCCCCACCCGGGCCGCAGACGTCCATATTTTCGTCGTGGCTCGTGGTTCGTAGTGATTCGTCCCCCTCGGCCCCTCCTCTGAGCCTGAGCCCCAGCTCCCCTGGGCCACCCCCCCTTGGGCCCCCCCTCCGTCCAAGCTTCCCAGGGCAGCCCCCCTGGGCCGCGGAACCTCTTTATTTTCGTCGTGGTTCGTGGTGGTTCGTCCCCCTCGGCAACTCCCCTGAACCTCAGCCCCACCTTCCCTGGGCCACCCACCCTTCGGAGGCTGCTCCGTCCAGGCTTCCCAGGACGCCCCCCCCTGGGCCGCGGACATCCTTATGTTCGTCGTGGTTCGTGGTTCGTGGTGGTTCGTCCCCCTCGGCCCCTCCCCTGAGCCTGCGCCCCAGCTCCCCTGGGCCACCCACCCCTTGGACCCCCCTCCGTCCAAGCTTCCCAGGGCAGCCCCCCCTGGGCCGCGGAACCCTTCAATTTTCGTCGTGGTTCGTGGCTCGTCGTGGCTCGCCCCCCTCGGGCCCTCCCCTGAGCCTCAGCCCCGCCTCCCCTGGGCCGCGGAACCCTTCTATTTTCGTCGTGGTTCGTGGCTCGTGGTGGCTCGTCCCTCTCGGCCCCTCCCCTGAGCCTGCGCCCCAGCTCCCCTGGGCCACCCGCCATTCGGAGGTTTGCTCCGTCCAGTCTTCCCAGGACAGCCACCCTGGTCCGCGGACATCCATATGTTCGTCGTGGTTCGTGGCTCGTCGTGGTTCGTCCTCCTCGGCCCCTCCCCTGAGCCTGAACCCCAGCTCCTTTGGGCCACCCCCCCTTGGACCCCCCCTCCGTCCAGGCTTCCCAGGGCAGCCTCCCCTGGGCCGCGGAACCCTTTATTTTCGTCGTGGTTCGTGGCTCGTGGTGGTTCGTCCCTCTCGCCCCTTCCCCCACCCCTGAGCCTGAGCCCCAGCCCCCCCTGGGCCACCCGCCCTTGGGAGCTTTCCTCCGTCGAGACTTCCTCCGTCCAAGCTTCCCAGTCCTTCGCGGCTCCTTTGTGCAAGAGCCAAGGCACGCGCGCCTCTTGTTTCAACCCCTTCGCGCGTCGAGCGCCGCGGCGTGCCGCTCGACGCGTCGCCCCGCGACGACTGCGGGCGGCGGCCGCAAGAGGGGCGCCGCCCACGCGCTGCGGCACAACGCAACTGCGACAACGGTGGCGCGGTGCGCCAATTTGCCCTGCGCGGCGGAGCGCCGGCCGCGCGGGGGCGGCAGCGCGCTGCCATGGCGCCGGCGCCGCGGGCCTCGCGCTCAAGGCGGTGCGCGCCTTCGACGACGACACCCCCGCGCAATCGCGGGCGCGTTCGGATCGACGCGCGCGTCGCGGTCGCGCCGCGCTTGAGGTGGCGCGCGAGCGCAGGGGCGCGGACAACGCGGCGGTCGCTCCGCGAGGCGCCCTTGTGCGGCGCCCAGATTAACGGCGCGGGCCCGACCGCTGCCCAACAGATGCGAGAGCGCACGGAGAAGGGGGCTCCTGCGCCCAGGACGGGGGCCGCGAGCCAAAATGGCGACGGCGAGCCGCAGTGACAACGGCGGGCGGCGGGGCGGGGGGGCAGGAGGGGCGGGCCAGCGGGAGAGGAAGGCGGCGCAGGGGCACGAGGGGGGGCAAGGGCGGGGGGGGAGCGAAGGGGCGGTGCAAATGATTTTGCAGAACGCGGGCGCGCTTCGCCGCGAACCCCGCGGTCGCTCGCGCAGGCCAACATCGATCGAGAAATCGCCGGCCCCGCCTGCGCAGCCCGAGAGCGCGCGGGGCAGCCCCCGGGAGAAAACAAAGCGCCCAGGGGGCGGGCCGGCGCATCGGGCCCCCGAGAAACCACCCGCCGCCAAACAAACCGAATCTTATAGCAAGCGATGCGCGCTTCGCTGGAACGTCTGGGGCAGCCCCGGGGCTTTCGCAAAGTTAATTTTCAGACGGCGGGGGCCTCGCGCCAGGTGCCGGGGGCGACCTGTGCCTCTACTTCGCTCGCGCGGAGCGAACGCGAAATGTGCTTCCGCCTATGCAATCGCCGCTGACGCCGGCCAGCCCTGGTCTCGCGCGTCGAGGGGGGCGACGTTCTCCGCGACGTGCGCTGCCCCGCTTCCCTCTCTCGCGCGGCGCGCGAGCGGTTTTTCCCGGGGCCGCGGCGCCTCGCGCTCCCACCGCGCGGGGTGCGCAACAGAGTCTATCAGCA